TCTGCCAATAGTCGCTTATATCTCACCCGAACTTCCTCCCCCCTTAGTTTATACACTTTCACCTCTCTCTTAACTTGTTTTTGGGCCACCTTCCGCTTGTCCCATCTACCTCTTACTCTAACTGTAGCTACAACTAAAATAATGGTCTGATATATCAGTTGCCCCTCTATAAACATGTACATCCTGGAGCCTACCCATCAACCTTTTATCCACCAATATATAATTTAACCAACTACTTTCATTATGTGCTACATCGTACCTTGTATATTTATTTATCCTCTTTTTCATAAAATATGTTTTAAACTTATTACCAAATCTCTTTCTACACATAGCTCAATTAAAGGATCCCCATTTAACATTTACCCCTGGCACCCCAAACTTACCTACTACTCCCTCCATAACATTTTTACCCACTTGAGCGTTGAAATCCCCAACCACAAGTACTTGGTTCAAAACTCCCCACGCATTTACTCAACATTTCCCAAAATCTCTCTCTCTCTCGTCTGCACTTCTCTCTTCCCAGGTGCATATACGCTTACTATAACCCACTTTTCGCACCCAAAACATTTATTTACTCCACATAATCTTTGAATTAAAACATTTATAGTCCCTCTTTTCCTGCCATAGCTTATCCTTCAACATTATTGCTACTCCTTCTTTAGCTCTAACTCTATTTGAAACCCCTGACCTAATCCCATTTTCCTCTCCACTGAAACTCTCCCACCCCCTTCAGCTTTGTTTTCACTTAAAGCCAGGACAACCAGCTTCTTCTCATTCATAACATCTACAATCATCTCTTTCTTATCATTTGCACAACATCCATGCACATTCAGACTTCCCCTTTGACATTTTCTTCTCATTCTTTTTAGTAATCTTTACAGGAAAAAGGGGGTTTCTAGCCCATTGTTCCCCGGGTTTTTAGTTGACTTTTACAACACGCATGGCTTACGGAGGAAAGATCTTATTTTCCCCTTCCCCATGGATATTTAAAAGGAAAAGTAATAAGACCCAAGAACTATTAAGATAAAATCAAAGAAAACTCAGAGGGGTGTGTATAAAAAACGTTGTACATGCAGTGAGTGTGACCTAAGTGTAAGTAGAAGTAGCCAAGCGTACCTGTAATCTGCAATTTATGAAAAGACAAAAGACACCCAATCCCCCCATCATAAAAACAATTACAGGCTTTCGTTTATACACCACTTGGCAGGACGGAGTACCCCCTGGGCGGTTTTCTGTCTACCAACCTACTACCTAATATATATATATATATATATAATATATATATAAATATATATAATTATATATATATATAATATATAATTATATTATCCTATACATAATATATATTATATATATATATAGAGGGGTGGTGGAAGCAATGAAAAGAGAGAAAAGAAGTGGTGAGATGTTTATCAACAAATTTGTTGAAAATAAGAAAAAGTTTGAGTGAAATTAACAATTAGAAAACCTAGAGAA